AATTACGTTGATTTTTGCGGAGGCTGCCTACGAATTACGAAGTCTAAAACGGCCGGATTACGCCTTACCGAAAAAAGGGCTTGCAGGCCCTCATATAGGCCAGAAAGCTGAAAACCGCTGCCCTCACAGAAACCGGACCGCCAGAACGGTCTGTACAGGAGGCTAGTGCCGTAACCGTAAAATCGAAAGTTGGAGCACGTATGAAACACTTATAAGTCTGGTTACCATTCTCCCCAGATCACCTTAGATGGTATAACATATTAACAGTGTCAGTGTAATATATCATTAACAGGTGCCAATGAAGCGAACTTCATCATTTCAATCAAGACTATATCCTTTCTGATTTCAAGCAATCAAAAATATGATACATGATGGGAATTTTATATTTGTGACCTGTGATACAAAGTTACATCATTAGATATAATTCGCAATCAATATTTGCATCATTGGTGAGAAAATGCTGTAATGATAGCTTTCCGTGAAAGGCAGGCGTGAAAGGATATCTAACATTCATTGCATTTACCAAATGCATCGCCAAACAACACCCACCGTGGACAAGTTTTCGCTTCAAAGCATCAATCATCAAAGGATTTCTTTGTCATGAAGGGTATGAAGACGTGAACCAGGAAACTTTCGGGATAGGCCAACGCTTGACCCATATTTAAAAAAAAACTGATACCCCCTCCAAAAAAGTGGACGATCCGAACGCTTTGTATTCCCGCACGTCAGGCTAGCCAATCAAAACGGTACGCGTTCGCAAAAGCATCCAATCAAATTGTGATGCGGAGGTATGCTCCACGACCTGACCAATCATAGCTCAGCGTACTTCGCGTACGGCGTTACACTTCGACAGCGACATCGTAGTCGGTCGGACGATGGACACGAAGTTCGTAGGTGTTGTTCAACTTTCAAAACGCCCTCGTCTCGGTCTCTGAATCGTCTCGAAACGACTTTTACGGACGTACACGCGAAGGGGACATCCCAAAGAAGAACCACCATGTATTGCCTGCAGTGGTTGCTGCCCGTATTGCTGATCCCGAAGCCACTGAATCCGGCTCTGTGGTACAACCACTCCATGTTCATGGGACTGTATCTCGCCAGTTTCTTCCTGGAGAAAAAGCCCTGCACTATATGCACGCTGGTCTTCCTGGCGGCTCTCTTCTTCATCTGCTACTCCTGCCAGGGGAACTGTGTCTTCTACAGTTGCACCGACGGCGACGTGTGAGGAAGAAACGCTCCGTCAAATCCCACAACAGTTGTACATGGTTGTACATATAACGTTACGTAGTCGTGTCGAATCATGGTGGTGGTGGTGGCAGCTTTCTGATTCATGATAATCATATAATCGTCTCACAAACATAATCATTTCTGGGCGCGAAGAAGTCTTTCACATCTACCATTGAGTGACAACAATTTTTACCCCAGATGTGCAGCAAGATGGATTTTGGCGGTACTGCGTATTTTCCTTTGGTGATGGCACGTCCGAATATAGCGTTGCGTTGGAAACTATGACCTATTGCGTCATCACCCACACAAGTTTGGACTGGTATACTATTTTACTCACAACAAAGAAGACTCGAAAATCAACGGAACATGTTACAAAAGAGACGTGAAACAAGATGTTACTTGGATTTGCCGTATGGACATCAGAACTTGAATGACTTTATGACTGATTTTTTTGCTAGGAAATCTCCATGTGTTTGAATTTTTGTGTGTAAAAAATCATGCATAAAGATTAATTAAGTAATAAGTTATAACTTTCTGCAACAGTATGATTTGTACATTGTACCTGGGCAATCATTTTCAACTTCGCAAATTGCCTTAGAGACTCTGCAAGAGCTTACATGTAATATTTCTGTTATTCCAATCATGGAATAGGGACTAGGTAGTGTAAGTAAAGGATGGTGGAAAAATTCACAAATTATGGGAGGATGTTACAATGTACACATGTACATATAACTAGGCACAGATATTTTGAAGCTGGCTACTAAATTTCTCTCTTTTAGATGCATTTATGGCTTGATATTGAATGTGGTAAGGGGCTATGTCTTTATGTAGCAAATTTTGTTACTCCATCCCAAAGATGATTGAAATGTATTGGACTATCCTGTTTTGTAATCTACACAGTCAAAACTGAAAATAGGACTTTTGAATAATTCGTGAACTCATGATTTAATGTCACAGGTTGCAACTCAGAATGTATCCTCCCATTTTTATCAAATAGCACACCAAAAGCCAGCTACGTATACATTTATACATACTTTGGATTTTTAACAAACTCTTTCAATGAGTGACTCTAAGCAGAGGTCCGCCTTTGCCCTGTTTTCTGACAACCAATGTTGGATACTTGGATGAGCCAGCTAGCTGTTACTAGTGGTAGAAAAATAAACAGGGCAAATCAGAGAAGATAGTCACAATCTTCCAATCCAACCTCTGCTTGGAGGGTAGATTCTGTCGCAAGGTCATCATAAAATGTAATGTAACAGTTCATATTACTATGCAGATATGAATTTTGTGGTCTCAATCTTTGTGATAGTTCTGGGGAACAGTGTTGGATTTTCTCTTACTGTAATGTTTCATAAACTCCTAGAATTTGGGGTTGAGTGGTTATCAGTGGATTGTGCAATAAGTACAATGTATAAAAGAAAAGTGTCTTACTCCTAATCCTCTATGTGACACTGGAAAATACATGGACTGCAGATCATTGTGAAATAATCATACAATTATACATGAGTGTTCATAATGTCTTTGGTGCCTGAACTCAGTTGCAAGGGTGCTTTGCAGCATGTACAATGTATGTCTACTATATTATCTGCATGTTTGAAGACTGTGATAATCAGCTTTTTCACTGTCAAGCATCCAAAGCTAGTTTCCACATGTATGCTTGAAAGTTCATCTGTGTTGGTAGAAGTCATTTGGAAACAAGTTTGAACTGTAACACAATCAATATTTTGGGTATGGTTAATTCTGGTGTTGGAAATTACAGTTCCGACATGTTTCATTGTTAATTATATTTTACATTACTACTAGTAACTTCTTAAGTGCCCTGCTGCTATATATATAGTAATCAGACTTTAAAAATGTGTTTAATGCTTTTGAATGTACAAGTTTGTCAACAGGTATTGGATGTGTTTTTACTGAAGATATGTTTGGACTGTTTTATCATGTAAAGGTATGGGCAGTCTGAATACAGGTAAAAAAAGATTTCAAGCACAATCGTCCAGTGGCATAGCATAATCTCCAAGCAGTTACAGCCTTGCCACTATAGGATCTGCTTGGAGATTATGTAAGCAGAAGATGTTGACCGTGATAGTGGGCAATGGGCATTTCCACAGTCAGATAATTCGAAGGTGAAATACCGAATCTATGTAGCCTGGGTAACTGGGAAAAAATCGGGGTAGCCATTATTAATCGAATGGCACCCAGGCTAGTATTTATGTACATGTTAATATGTTGTAAGTACCTTGACTAAGCTAGAGTGCGCACCAAGCTTGCCTTGATTTACTTCTCTCAAAGTCTGATCATGTAGAGCTTGTATATTACGGTAACAATACCTTGGGATCTTTGGTGGACAGACAATTCAGTTAGAAGCAGGATAAAGCATGGGTCATTCTTATTCCAATTGTAGTTATGCATATTACACAACTGTTAACAATAATCTAGCTATTGCCAGCTGTCCCAATCTGTAGAGATATGTATACCTGTATACTGAAGGCCAAACTTTCACAATCATGACAAGTCACAATGGTATAGCTTACAAGTCTGTCCCATACATGTTTGGTGTGAGATGGACAGACTCTTCCTTCAACACTTTATTACTGCATTAGCTTGATACTGGTATTAGTGGTATACATGTATGTATGTGTTCTTTATTCAAATTGCGACAACAATGCACTGGTATGTTTTGTTTTTATTAGACCATCTTCCATCCTATGTAGAGCCATTGTTTCAGAAGTAGAACAGAATGGGTCCAAGTTAGTGGTTTTCTGTATGTGAAGATTTGGAATGTTGCAAAGGAATGTTCAAACACTTTAATTTTACTACATGTACAATCCATCTCACTTTCACCATATGAAATGTCCCACAGTACGAAGTATGTCTTTCCACCATGAAAATATTTTTAAGTAGTTACAGATTGGGCAAGTTATGCATGAATATTATACACTATTTTGGTATGGAAATCATGTACAATTGATTAAACAATAAATATAAAAAATAAATGGCTGGTGCCATTTCATCCCAGCTCTTGTATTCTGAGTTTATTCATATAACTGGCATGATTCTTATGCTGTAGAATTTTGAAGCAGGCAGTGATAGAATCAACTAGAGATAATGATCCAAGACAGCCTTTTCCATATCATATAGTTTATTTCAGCCCCTCTACTATGTAGAAGTACAGTGACTTCATACTTAGACAGAAGCAGTTTTATTTCATAACTACAGCTAAATTATTGCATAGTGATTCACAGAAATTGACATAATCTGTAGCAAGAGTCTGTAACTGACAGTACAGTGCAGTACATATAAGAATATAAAAGACATAACTTATAGTATTGCTAAGTAAATGAGGATATATCTTGAGTATATAACTGACAGTGTATGTATTAGCTGCCTGTAAAGGTATACCACTAAAAAAAGCTATAATACATATCTATCTAGTTAATATCTGACAGCATCAAGAAGAAACAATGCATTACATCATACTGGAGATCTTTAAGTTTAGAAATTTTTAAACAAGCTTTTGATTTAAATATCTACCATTAATTCCACCATTCAAATGCAGCATATAAATCAGAAATACAAGGGGCACCTTTTATTTAAAGGCACTCTATGTAGTTTTTTGCGCAAAAATTTGGAATATTCTAATTATACTAAATTTCAGTGTTATTAACAGTTACTATCACTTTTCAACACATTTGTGTCATTATTTCACATTTCTTACGTATATTTTGTCCGTTCAAACAGTCCTTCTTGGGTACCCGGTGCCACCGGTTTGCTCAGGACAACAACAACAACATACAGGGGTTGCCCCCTAGGGTGGCTAATTGACCCGGCTTGCCAGGCTTGATTGACAGGGGCACATGTGACAAGATATAGCCTCCTTAGAAGAACACTCATATCTTTCACATGAGGTCTGGTGGAATATAATTATCAACTTGGAGTATTTTGTTGGGCATGAAAAAACTGTGGTCATTATCCCTTCAAAAGAGATAAAAAATCTGGTAAACGGTTAGGTATTTCAGAAACTGGTAAGCTATCAACTGACACCCCACTGGGATGTAGGTCAAACCACTAGCAGTGGACAATACAATGTACCATATGTGCGGTTTGGCCAGAGGTTGTATAGAAGATCATTCACAGTTTTCTAAGCTTCTAAGGAGCAAGGATGTTGTATTTTTTGTTGAGGAGTATGATTTTGGAATACTAAAGGGTTAAGTCAATGTACTATGTAAAGAAAAGAATGAAAAATATACTTTCTGTATTGTCAAAAAACTACATAGAGTGCCTTTAAAGTGTGTGGAAGCAGGTTCATTTGAGACTCCACACTAAAACATTTCACTTTCCCTGTGTTGGAACAGTGACTGCAGTCTCTAGTCAACTTAAACTATGACTAGATGTTTATGGATTTGGTAGGACTCCAATCATGTATTAAATCAGCATGTTGCTAGATTTTGTCTGACCCTGAGCTCTTGGTTTTTGGTTTTCCTTTAATGCCCACGATCATGATAATGATCATTCTGGCATACTCATTTACACCTGGGCAAAGTGAGGAAAGTCGTGTTAAGTGCCTTCCCCAAAGTCACAAGGTTGGTGACTTGGCAGGATTCAAACCCAGGACCTCTAGGTTCTGAGCCAAATGTTCTGCCGTAATGCCACACAACTAAGCTCTTCACTCATAACTTTAATGAAAAGAGGACATGAATAAACAAATTCACAAACACACAAACAAACAAATTTCTTTCTCTACTTGGAGTTGACCCCCCAGTCGTATGACATGTGACTGAGTTTGTACTTTTTGCCGACTAACAGTTCTGACACCTGGGACTTCTTCTGTCCTGCTGACATGTGGTCGTAGACCCACTGTAGTACCTGTATGTGGAGACAGAGTTCCATGGGTTAGTACATGTATGCATGAATGATATAGATTAGGCCACACCAATTTAATTTGTTGGTTCTCCAATTTTTTTTCCAAAAAAATATGAAGCAACAGGGCAAAAAAATAAAAACAGGTCTAGGCATCCTATTATACTGTAACAATAGAAGCCATGAAGTCAACAAAAGGCTGGGTGTTGTAGTATATGTAGCCGATGTAGGTGGCCCTTTTGCGGCAAGAAGCAGAACTCCAGTCATTAGTTCTGAGGAAGGTGTCTGATAGACAACAAAACATAAGCAAGGTGAAATAATAAGTTTGGTTGTGTAAAAGAAAACACCTATATCCTATTATAGTCCCAGATGCTACAAAAGGAGCCATGAAGTCAACAAAAGGCTGGGTGTTGTAGTATATGTTTTATTATTTCTGTAAACTGGGCCCCACTGAAAATCAACTTCTCAAAGCTGAGTTGGGCTACCCAGGTGTGTTAAAATGAAATAAATAAATCCAAAGCAACACCATGTCTCTTCCTTTCCTACCTCATCATTGTGGCTGCCGAAGTCGACCTTGTACCACTTGAAGATTTTGCTGAGCGAGACTTCCTTCCTGCTCATGTCCACGCGTATCCCATCATCCCCTTCCAGAAAACCCTCTGCTGCGATCTTCAGCTGTTTGTCCACTTCCTGGGGAGAAGGTAAGCGTGTGAGTTCTGGCTCAAAATTCATATATACATATATGACTGGTTTATTTGCAAAGACATACATAATACATAATACTGCAAATTGGAAGCTTTTTTTTGCAGCCTAGAGGCTGAATTAAGCAGCTTTAACAATTACTAAAGTATACACGAATAACAATGTATTGCTTGGCATATACATAACATCACTTGTGCACTCTATTAGACTAGTGCAGATTTTATGTTAAAATTAAAATTACAAAAAATAACTGCACAGAAAACACTTAATGGGTGCCCAACATGTCATACAACAAATGCTTTCATTTTTCTCTACAAAATATCAAGAACACCCTGAGTGTACTCCAATGATAGATATCCGAAGATATCCAATTGCAAAGTACGTAGCTTGTGTTAGCAATGATAGCATAGTCTGACCTGAGCAGAGTAGGTTTTGATAGGAGGACAGCTTTTCGCCCCACACACGAGAGCGAAGTGTATGAGCGGCTCCGGGTTTTCCAGCGCGACGGGCAGCCGCGGGTCGTCCTTGCCGAACGGGCGGAACAGCTGACCTATGCCCTTCCTGTTCCCGCGAAGCACGCCGTTCTCCATGTCCTGTAGGGAGTAGATGTGACCGCCCACGATGTAACTCACCACGTTGAAGAACTGGGGGGACAACACACGTGACATTAGATAGCTTTAGACAATGTTTAGAGTTAGATGTGCAACGGTTAAGGGTAACAAGTCGTCTGGTTTAATATAACCAGCTGCCGCCACGCTGCGTGCCTGCAAAGCTGGTGTGCTACACCAAGGTCACACCAATTTGATTTGTTGGTTCTCGGATTTTTTCAGAAAAAATATGAAGCGACAGGGCGAAAAAAAATAAAAATAAAAACAGGTCTAGGCATCCTATTATAGGCTTAAATGCTACAAAATGAGCCATGAAGTCAACACAAAAGGCTGGGTTAAAATTGAAACATTGAATTTTGAACTTTTAATCAAACCACTGCAATGATAGATGGGAAAACTGTAACAAGTAGGAAGAAAAGGACTTTCCTCAACTGTTGGGGGGCAAAACATGAGCATTTTTCAGTTGATTCAGGACCAGAATCAATTTTTTTTTTTTTGCAAATCAGAAAAAAACGAAGAGGCAAATCCAGGCAAATCCGAGAACCAACAAATTAAATTGGTGTGGCCCAAGGGGCAGTTACACTGGTTATACAGATACTATGTAATAAGGACAAAATTCGTGTGTGTGTGCCTGCGGCATCCTTTCTGAATAAACTTGATTTGACTTGAAGGGGGATTATACCGGCTATACAGATACATAACAAAATATGTATACATCAACATTATACTATCTTATACACATGTCGCCAAGATTGCCATGCAAAGATATAGGCCTGGGCCCTAGCCTGGGCTAATATTAGTGACACAAGACACTGTACATGACTATATCACCAGATCTGGAGAGCAAGCATCATCTCTTGATATGAAAGAATGTCCACACACACATCTGCAAAAGGAAAAGGAGGCCTGGAAGACAGCCCTTTACTATCAATAATATACTAGTATGTGAATGTGCTGAAAAGAGACACTCGGTGATAATATTGGCATGGGGAGTGCATGGATTGATTGATTGACTGATTGATTGATTGATTTATTGATTGATGGAATCCTTACCTTGTATCTCTGCCACAGGCTGGTTGGAGGTCCCACCCTGACATAGGAATGGATGACCTTGTACACTGATTGATTGATTGATTGATTGATTGATTGATTGATTGATTGACTCCTCACCTTGTACCTCTGCCACAGGTTGGTAGGAGGCCCCACCTTGACGTAGGCATGGATCACCAGTGCGTTGTAGATGTTGATGAAGAAGGCAAGTTTCTCCTCCCTGCTCAAGTCTGTCACGTTCACCCTCTGTAGCTGTGCTGTCAGAGTCACATACTCGGCAAAGTCAGGGCTCTCCCCGATACCCTTGTAGTCTACTTTCTGGGAGAGAAGAAAGTTCAAGTTCATTGCATAACTAGACAAGTAACATTTGCAAAGCAAATGCATATTATGTTTACCTTCGGACATGGTCTGCCCTGTTAATTTTTACTCAAACATATTCACATACATGTACTACTAGTATATGGTGACAGAAGCAGAGCAGACCATGAAGTTTGCAACATTATGTAACCTAACACCAGTCACCATGGTGACAGACGTCAACAAATCATGTCATTGGCCAGGTCAGAGGTTAGTGTTTGGAGAAGAGAAAATTGAGTAAAAACAATATCATGTTTTCCTTCAGTAAACATAATAATTGTAATAGGTAGGGCTACGTGTTTTATAAGACTAGTACTATTTCAAGCACTTTATAAAACTTCCAGCTAATTATGCTAAACTATACTGTAAAAAAAAACAAGCAAACAAAGCTTACCTTGCCGTCCTTGGACAAATGTTTGGAGTAGATTTTCAGGATGAGTTTTCTGATCACTTCACTCAGTTCACCAGCTGTAGATGGAGCAAAAACTCATGGTATAACTTTAACTGATTACTAAAAAAATATAACATGAATCAAAGGCTTGGATATCTGAAGATCACATACTCTTTAATAGGATCAACAGACAGTGAGGACAGATGTTTGTTGACCTTAGACTTTGGGTATTTAAAACTGCAGAAACAAGCCCCTACCAGGTCTAGGCTGACATTCGGCCGTCACCCCTGCGTTCAGGGCGCTCTCTGAGTCGTCCTCCAGAAGTCTGTAGAACAGAACCTCGTCCTTGAACTTGTGGTCGTCTGTCACATGGTGCCCGAACCCTCGCGTCACCAGCTTCTGCCCCATCTCTACTGCTTCTGCCCTTTCTGCAATAAAAATGGTACAGTTCAACTTTTGGTAGTGATAATGCATCACGGACTCAAAGGAGTGGACCAGTCAAACAGCCAACCAGATTGAGTGAGTGAGTGCATGTGTGAGTGAGTGAGTGAGTGAGTTGTGTGTGTGAGTAAGTGAGTGAGTGAGTGAGTGAGTGAGTGAGTGAGTGAGTGAGTGAGTGAGTGAGTGAATGCATTTACCGTAGCCCTGGTTTTTGCAATGTTTGAAGTTCGTGGCAGTGTTTTTATCTGCATCTGTATAACTTCATGATAGGATCATTGTACATTATACTTTCTGTATTTATGCCATGGCAATTACATCCTCAAACTGTCAGAATAACCTAGCCTGGCTGCCATCTGATTTTGGGGGTTGCCGTTACAAATCTGTTGGCACCCAGGCTAAGAATAACCTAAACACTGAGAAAAAAGTTGAGTTCTAGGTTACCTAATCCTTTTTCCTTGACCAGCCAGTCGACAAACTCCCTGCCGACAAAACAGTTCCTGTAGGTCCTGAGGTTGTACTTCCTGTCCTTGATGAGTCCAGACTGTTTCAGCTCCTGTACAAGCATGGCATACTCATCTGGCTCACAGTGGAACCCTACTGCAGCTGGGAGGAACAAACAAACAAACAAATAAAATAAACAATCAATCATAGAAGTAAGGCGTACTCGTCTGCCTCACAGTGGAACCCTACAGCAACCGAGTGGAAAGGGGGACAGATTTCAACAAGAAATCAGAGATGATAATGTTCCAGAATTTTAAGAAGTACATGACAAACTAGTAATCAGCTAGACTAGTTTTCAGACGGCATCCACCATCTTGCATCAGCTCATGAAAAGGTAGTCACGTGACCTAGATGTTTGAAATCAGACCTCTGCATCCTAAATTCCTCCACATACGGCCAACTTACTCCCACCTGGCAGGTGCTGGGTTAGCCTGGGTGCCATTTTCCAGGCGAGTCGACTAACAAACAAACAACGAAACAAAGTTTATCCAACTGTACCTTCCTCCTCCTCAGCTGTGAGAGGGTCAGGTGGCACAGGAGCATCAGGTGGGGGGTCCTTCTCTCGCACCTCCGCAATCAGCTCCTGTAGTTCTTCCTCACTCTGGAGAATATAACCAGAACTTCGTGTACATATTAAACACTGACAGACCTACAGTGCCACTGAAACTGTAATGTTACTGTACTCCTTTAGCAGACCAGCTCCCCTGGTAAGTTATTTGTCTATGTATATGGCCGATTTCTACTCTTTCCAGCCTCCAGGTCATAAGGAATAGGTCAGGGTCAGACAAAATATAACAACATACAGGTTACATACCTTTTAAAAGTCCTAACAAACTACAAACAGATAGCCATACAAAATAAATTTGTTTGGTGAACTTGGTGATCTAAATAAAGCATATTTGTATTATGATTCCCATACCGGTCGAAAAGAAGTCTAAATGTTACCTCATCAAACAATGTTTCTTTTGTTACAAAGAAAATAAATAAAAAAAAACAGCTGCTCACATATTGATTTAAAACAGACCTACCAGTTTCTGTAGTTCCTCGTTGCCTCCAACATGGACAGCATTGAAGAAAATCTGAGGGACTGTGTTCTTCCCAGTTCTGGTTCTGACCTCTTCTCGAATCTAAGGTACAGATAATGCAAACATGGTTTATTACATTGTCATCCTTGTCTTATGAGTTATATCAACAGTGAAATATATATTAAATGATACCAGCTTACATAAAGAGAGTTTTAATCTTTAAGACAAAATTTTACTTCCCCATTTGTACCTGTATTCTAACGGTATGACTCTATCTCTTGTTGTCCATCTGTAATGGTATATGAAAATTAAAACCTCATTGTTACCATTCTTCAGATTGAGACTTTCTACTATATTATGCTTGGTGGTGTATTTAACAGGAAGAATGAGACAGCAGAAAAGCAGCTATTCAAAAGTAACAAACGAAAATTGTTTATCCAACAGATAGATTACTACTAGTCTAATGAGAGTTTAACCCGATCAACCATGTCAAAGCACATTAGCTATGAAACATACTAAGTGGGATTTTATCTAAAAGAGGTACTTAAAAGTGTTCATTACTAATAATTTATTACATGTCTAATGTTACCAGGAATCTTGCTTGTTTGTTTAGTCAAGTGAAACACCACTCCTAGTCTGATTGAACAGAAAGGACACAGGATGTGAACTTATTGTCAGTATCATGACTGTGCAAAAATCCTCCTTGGACAAAGTAAGAAACACGCAACGTCTGCTTGAAAACAATTAAAGTAGACTTACTAGTAAACCTCCAAGTTATTTGGAGTGAATGTTACAACAACAAATGATATCAATGAGCATCTAGTGGCAACAGGTGACTTCTTGAAGTGGTTTAAAAGATGTCAACAAATTATAGTCCAACGTCTGTTTGGAGCTTTAAATTATAATGTTAACGTTAAACCTCCAACTTCCAACATGGAGGTTAGAAAAACAACTCCATGCTTGGAGCACTTAATGTTACAACAACAAAGCCTTAAGTAAGAATCTTAATAAGCACCTGACAACAACAGTTAACGACCATACAGTATACTATTTACATGTGCAAGATGTCAACAAATTACAGCAAGTCATAGTAGTTTGTCACCTGAGGGTACTTGTCGAGTGAGACGTCGGTGTAAGGTAGACCCAGCTGCTCCAGGTAGTTCTTAGCGCGGATACAGTGGGGACAGCCCACGATGGAGTACACCAACACTCTACCCTTCAGTTCCATGGGGAAATACCTTCACTTTAGCTGCCAGATAGAAAATGCCGAAAATATTAACTCTCAGGTTTTGCTGTGAGTACTAAAGTTGAACTTGAAGACCACTCCCTGCTAGTGCTGTTGTTATTTAACACAAAGTGATTGTGCGGAGATATATCCGGTATTCGCAGAAGTGATTTGCGTGGTGCTGGGCACTTAGGCAGGTAGGCAGGTAGATTTGCGTGAATGGTTTTGGACTATCCCATTGCGATAAAGGGTGTTTGTGTGAAACGTAACACTTTCATACTCTCCAAGCAGAGGTTTGGGTTTGGGGTTATTTTAACCGTGTTTTTAGGCTTTTTTTATCGGTGCTTCTCTTTTGCACTCAATTTGTTTTTCCATTAAATCCTAAAAACACGCTAAAAATAACCCCAAGCCCAAAACCTCTGCTTGGAGAGTAACACTCTCATCCCCCTCCGGCCCCCGCGGATGACTTTTGGACCGTCCCAAATGTTGGTTCACCTTTGACCCTACAAGATGGCGGCCTAAGCACATGTGTGACGCGCCGATATGAGGCATAAGACATGGTCACGGAAAAACTCAATAGTTCACACAAAAACGGTCCAATCAGCCATATAAATGTGTCTTTGTAATCGTCACGAGTTGTCCTAGCTCCTGCAGTGCACCCGAGCAATCAGACTTCTGCGAGAAACGAGATTTATCGAGTTAAAATTGATGCATATTCAGATAGTTTTCAATGGTTTCCGCCATTGTTTTCAAGCCCAAATACGCACCACATGGGGGTTTTGAGGTGTCCGCTTAGGAGCCGAGGCACATCTGTTTCCGGGTCACGCTACCAAGTTGTGACGGTAGTGTACGGGAGTAGTACAAATGTAGTAAGCATCCTCTGACAGCGTTTATGAAGTAACGACTTAACGAAATGTTCAAGAAAGTGAGGCTAAAACACTGGGCTTTCAGCGATGACCACACCCGATAGGTTGTTTTGTGACTGAAACGAAGAAAGCCTCACAAATCCAATATATTATGCTGCTCATCGCAATCACGGTTTTAGACGATTACCTTCTAGAAAATAGTATAGCAACTTTAACAATCCTTTTGTATGTATTTTTCCATGTATTGTTGTCTCCATGTCTTTGTTACTTGCAATTAGCCCAAGGGCACGAACTTGCAATAAACTTATTATTATCGAAGAGCAAGTTTGAAATTGCGTCATACTACTCATAGGATTGACCGCAAGTTTCATCATGACAGAAAATTTCACGTCAAAAGTGGGCATTGTATATACTCTTAACAGAGCAGAGTTGAAAGTGCGTCATTGGAATGACGCAAACTTTAAAGTGCGTCATACGAATGACACAGTTTTATCACAGAAAGTATACTCACCACCGTTAAACTAAACTTTGCAGCATGGAGCCAACACCCAGAAAAGTGGCCGTTGCCTCCCCTAGCAACACATAGAAACCACTTTTTGACCCCGATGTCCACAGATTTTGCCCAATGTTTGAAAATTGCCTCATGTCCACCCAGTGTAAAAACATTTGCAGGAGGCCTAGGGGTTCTGCTAGACCAGGTGAGGGGCTGTCTGGAAATCAATGCTGGATCGTATTGTAGCAAATGACCAACTGGTTTAATTTCCAAAGCATATCTCGTGTCTGGAAAACGCGTACGCTTCGTGAATTCACATTTTAAGAATTTCACACAGAGCAGCTGTTTGATTAAAAGCAAAATTTGAAATATTCGCTGCCCGATATAAGACAATTATAAGAAATAGTTGTTAATCTGCTGGAGACTGCAGACACTAAATTTGTGTAAACTAGTTATATTATCAGAGCTCCTAGACAGAAATTCCAGTCTACGAATGACACTGTTTCACCACAGTAAGTTGGCGTGGTATATACTTTTAACAGAGCATTCTTGAAAGTGCGTCATTGGAATGACACAGTTTACCACGGCAGAAGTTTTCTATGAAATTAGGCACGGAATATACCCTTAACAGCCCAATCTATAAAGTGCGTCATACGAATGACACAGTTTCACCACAGTAAGGCTTCCCGTCAAAAGTTGGCGTGGTATGTACTCTTAACAGAGCATACTTGAAAGTGCGTCATTGGTATGACACAGTTTACCACGGCAGAAGTTTTCTATGAAATTAGGCATGGAATATACCCTTAACAGCCCAAACTGTAAAGTGCGTCAAACGAATGACACAGTTTCACCACAGTAAGGCTTCCCGTCAAAAGTTGGCGTGGTATGTACTCTTAACAGAGCATTCTTGAAAGTGCGTCATTGGAATGACACAGTTTACCACGGCAGAAGTTTTCTATGAAATTAGGCATTGAATATACCCTTAACAGCCCAAACTGTAAAGTGCGTCATACGAATGACACAGTTTCACCACAGTAAGGCTTCCCGTCAAAAGTTGGCGTGGTATGTACTCTTAACAGAGCATTCTTGAAAGTGCGTCATTGGTATGACACAGTTTACCACGGCAGAAGTTTTCTATGAAATTAGGCACTGAATATACCCTTAACAGCCCAAGCTATCAAGTGCATCAAACGAATGACACAGTTTCACCACAGCAAGGCTTCCCGTCAAAAGTTGGCGTTGTATGTACTCTTAACAGAGCGTACTTGAAAGTGCGTCATTGGTATGACACAGTTTACCACGGCAGAAGTTTGCTATGAAATTAGGCACGGAATATACCCTTAACAGCCCAAACTGAAAGTGCGTCAAACGAATGACACAGTTTCACCACAGTAAGGCACGGCGGTCTTGTTTTGTGGCCTTAGGAATCATATTTGAGTCACGTTGGTTTATAAGTTGTAGTCAGGGTTCCTTGTACATGCTCTGTTAAGAGTGTATACCACGCCAACTTTTTGACGGGAAGCCTTACTGTGGTGAAACAGTGTCATTCGTTTGACGCACTTTAAAGTTGGGGCTGTTAAGGGTATATTCCGTGCCAAAATTCGTAGAATAATTTATTCCGTGGTAAACTGTGTAATTCTAATGACGCACTTTCAAGTATGCTCTGTTAAGAGTACATACCACGCCAACTTTTGACGGGAAGCCTTACTGTGGTGAAACTGTGTCATTCGTTTGATGCACTTGATAGTTTGGGCTGTTAAGGGTATATTCCGTGCCTAATTTCATAGAAAACTTCTGCCGGGGTAAACTGTGTCATTTCAATGACGCACTTTCAAGTATGCTCTGTTAAGAGTGTATGCCACGCCAACTTTTGACGGGAAGCCTTAGTGTGGTAAAACTGTGTCATTCGTTTGACGCACTTTAAAGTTGGGGCTGTTAAGGGTATATTCCATGCCTAATTTCATAGAAAACTTCTCCCGTGGTAAACTATCTGTATCTGTATCTGTATAGCCGGTATAACCGCCTTTCGGCGTAACACACCAGCTTCGCAGGCACGCGGCGCGGCGGCAGCTGGCTATATTACACCGATCGACCTGTTACACCTAACCCTTGAACTTCTAGCTCTAGACATTGTTTAAAGCTATCTATTGACAATGCCCCTACTGTACTTGGTGACAGTGAGTTCCACTCTGCGATAGTTCTAGGAAAGAATGAATTCTTGAACACCTCAATCCTTGGTTTATAACTCTGGTATTTGAATGCATGGCTATTTCTTGTTCTCTTCTGGGCTGGTATTAGGTACTTAGTAGTTGGGACATCCACCAGTTTATTAGTCATTTTGTACATCATGCATAGTCTGGACTTCTTTCTTCTGTCTTCCAGTGAGGTCCACTGTAGGTTTCTTTTCATTTCCGTGACACTAGCACCTCTTTCATACTTGTTCATACAGAATCTTGCAGCTTGATTCTGTACCCTTTCCAATTTGTCTTTGTCTTTCTTTGTATATGGATCCCATACTGTCGCAGCACATTAACTATGTCATTCCAATGACGCACTTTCAAGTATGCTCTGTTAAGAGTGTATGCCACGCCAACTTTTGACGGGAAGCCTTACTGTGGTGAAACTGTGTCATTCGTTTGATGCACTTGATAGTTTGGGCTGTTAAGGGTATATTCCGTGCCTAATTTCATAGAAAACTTCTGCCGTGGTAAACTGTGTCATACCAATGACGCACTTTCAAGTATGCTCTGTTAAGAGTACATACCACGCCAACTTTTGACGGGAAGTCTTACTGTGGTGGAACTGTGTCATTCGTTTGACGCACTTTAAAGTTGGGGCTGTTAAGGGTATATTCCGTGCCTAAATTCGTAGAATAATTTATTCCGTGGTAAACTGTGTCATACCAATGACGCACTTTCAAGTATGCTCTGTTAAGAGTACATACCACGCCAACTTTTGACGGGAAGTCTTACTGTGGTGGAACTGTGTCATTCGCATGACGCACTTTAAAGTTGGGGCTGTTAAGGGTATATTCCGTGCCTAATTTCATAGAAAACTTCTGCCGTGGTA